CCATATTTCAAATTCATGAGGTGAATCCTCTATAAACGAAGAAATATTCCTGAATTTATCTGCCCCACAAATCTTCATTTTCATTTATTTGATCTCTTTAAGGGATACAGCTATGACCAGGATTACTGATTGGCATGGAAATAGCAACATCAACAGTGAAAAAGTTACCTGACAGACTCTTGGAATGAGAATAAATCTGGATTTCTTCAATTAAGAAATAGGAACTGCTGTCCTCGCCAAAATGATAATCCTTTTTTTTTTTTTTTTTTTGCTCTGTTGCCCAGGCTGGAGTGCAATGGCGGGATCTCAGCTCACTGCAACTTCTGCTTCCTGGGTTCAAGAGATTCTCCTGCCTCAGCCTCCTGAGTAGCTGGGATTACAGACACCCACCACCATGCCCAGCTACTTTTTGTATTTTTAGTAGAGATGAGGGTTTCCATGTTGGCCAGGCTAGTCTCGAACTCTTGACCTCACTCAGGTGATTCACCCGCCTCAGCCTCCGAAAGAGCTAGGATTACAGGCGTGAGCCACCGCACCCGGCACAAAATGATAATACTCTTGGGAGTGATAAGACTAATCCATACCTGTTATTGATACCATAGCGAATGAGTTTAGAGATCTTTGCTTGAAAAGAGACTTTTATTTTGGGGATCGGTATAGAAAAGCCACGAGTCGCAGGTCTTTTGAGGTATGGGGCGATGGCAAGGAACAAAAAGAGAGGAAAATGGACAGAAATGAAAAGGTGAGGTCACCCAAGGCAAACTTAGCTTGCCAATTTTATCTGGGGTTCAAACCTCACTGGATTCTTTCCATTTTCATGTCGTGGATGGGGGGAGGTGCAAGAAACTGGGGAACTGTCAAGACCAATCTAATCAAAACCACTCTAAAGCAGACAAGAACTGGAGAAGAAAACCAAAAATTTAAAACAAGAGATTTAGGAAAGATGCTTCCTAAATTCTGTGAAATTTTCATGAAGATTCTGAACCAAGTTCATTGTCTCTCTCTTTCCTTAAATAGACTATAAAATATGGTGACCTGGGGGCCAAGAGCAGGGGCCACAACCATACTAGAGAGAAGTCTCTTCTGTCATTCCCCAGAGTAAAGACCTGGTTTCTAACAGGGTGGCCTTGGCATTTCTAACGGGGTGTCCTTGGCACTTCTACAGTGCCCAGTACAGCTCAAGAATATTAACTGTATTTGCGGGTCTGTTTCTCATGATGACAAGTTGGGTCCATTGAAAACCGTCCAGACTTGTCCTTCTTTGGCCTCCTACATTTCTGAATCATTCAGTGTGCTAATGTGTTCTAAGTCCCACTGTGATGTAATTAAGGGATAATATTTGGAGCAAGAAGTAGACAGCGTTGTAAATGCCACCTGTGGGTGATTAAATGCTGATTTAAATGCGAGCAGAAGTTGAATAACTATAGAGTTCATTGGATGCAAATAAATCTATTCCAATGCCACAAGCATTTTTTCCCCGATTATAGGATAAAGTTTCTAAAAGATACAAAGCATCCATAAGCAAACATTTTAATGCCTTCATCTTCCTCTAAGGAATAGAGAATTGAAACTACTGCATCCTAAGAATGCTTATCTCATCTAGGAGGGAGACTTGGGGACTAAGTTTAGATGTAAGGAACGAGGATTGAAAATGAAGAGCTGCTCCAGGAAGGATTAAATGGGGAAATATGTGTACACCTCCTAAATACTGTAATGAAGAACTCTCCATTCCTAACTGTGTGAATAGCTGTTTGTGTTTCTCACTATAATTTTATTTTCTAAACTATTATTTTTTCTAGAGATAGGGTCTCACTCTGTTGCTTGATCTGGAGAGGAGTGGCACGACCATAGCTCACTGTTACCTCGAAGTTCTGGGCTCAACAATCCTCTGCCTCACCCTTCTGAGTAGCTAGAATTACAGAGATGCACGATACCACACCTGGGTAATTTTTTAAAAGTTTTGTAAAGATGGGGTCTCACTATGTTGCCTGGCCTGATCTTAAACTCCTAGCTTCAAGCGATCCTCCAGCCTCAGCCTCCCAAAGCAGCAGGGTTATAGTGTGAGCCACTGTGTCTGGCCACCTCGCTGTAATTTTTTATCTCAAGGAACCATTCACTTATCCTTTTTGGGTCTTAATTTTTGTGCATCTGGAAATGTAAGGGTGGGGATGCTTGGATCAGGTGAGCTCTGAAGTTCTTTGCATTTTAGTTCCACATATGTCCTACTGGAAAGTATGGGTGAGGAACTGGAAAATGGGAATTGTCTTACACTGCTGTTAGGACTGCAAATGTAAAATTTTAGAAAGCTAAGGCTGAAATGTATATTACTTGTGACTTGGTAATTTCACGTTTAGGTGTATTTCTTAAAGAAACTTTCACAAATGTGTACAGAGGGGCAAAGACAAAAAAATCTTACTCCATAGTGTTTGTAAGAGCTGAAAACTTGAAAAAGACATAAATGCATATCAACAAGGAAATGAATAAAATATGGCTTCTTCACAAAGGAATACCATACAGCAGTTAAAAGAAATAACAGGATGGGCACAGTGGCTCAAGCCTGTAATCCCAGCACTTTGGGAGGCCGAGGCAGGTGGATAACGAGATCAGGAGTTCAAGACCAGCCTGGCCAAGATGGTGTAACCCTGTCTCTACTAAAAATACAAGAATTAACTGAGTGCGGTGGCAGGCGCCTGTAGTCCCAGCTACTCGGGCGGCTGAGGCAGGAGAATCGTTTGAACCCAGGAGGCGGAGGTTGCAGTGAGCCGAGATCACACCACTGCACTCCAGCCTGGGTAATAGAGCGAGACTCCATCTCAAAAATAATAATAATAATAATAATAATAATAACAACAAACCTTTATATGACTCAATATTGATATTTCTAAAAATGCAAGCCATTAAAAAGTTCGCATTGGTAAAATTTGTGGAAATCTGGGTAAGTAGAAAGAAAAATGACTCATGACTTCATAGTAATACTCAAACAAAAAAAGAAAAAAGAAAAAAGAAAAACAAATCAATCTTTTGAGTGACAAAAACAAAGTATAATATAACAGCTAGAGCAGCAAACCTCAACCTTTTTGACAGCAGAGACCGGTTTAATGGAAGACAATTTTCCATGGACTGGGGTGGCAGTGGGGGATAGGGGATGGTTTTGGGATGACTCAAGCACATTCTATTTATTGTGTATTTTATTTCTATTCTTATTACATTGCAATCTATAATGAAATAATTATATAACTCATCATAATATAGAATCAGTAGGAGTCCTGAGCTTGTTTTCCTGCAACTAGAGGGCCCCATGTGAAGGTGATGGGAGACAGCGACAGATTATCAGGCATTAGATTCTCATAAGCAGTGCACAACCTAGATCTCTCGCATATGCAGTTCACAATAGAGTTCGTGCTCCTGTGAGAATCTAATGTCGCTCCTGATCTGACAGGAGGAGGAGCTCAGGTGGTAATACAAGCAATGGGGAGCGGCTGTAAATGAAGCTTCACTCACCTGCTGCTCATGTTCTGCCATGCAGTCTGGTTCCTCACAGGCCAAGGACCAGTAACGGTCTATGGCCCGGGGGTTGGGGATCCCTGACCTAGAGTGTGAAGTCATTTGTGTAAATTTTAAATGACTATAAAGATAATGGCATTGAGTGTTCACAGATGTGTGTGTGTGTGTAAGTGTGTGTAAAAGGAGAAAAAATAGGACACACATAATTTCCTGATGATAAAAGTTTAGGAGGTGAGGTAAAAGACTGTGACTGGAGACTGGGGATAAAGAAGACTTCAACTGAATTGGTACCACTGTATTTCTTTTATATAAAAATACAGAAAACAGCAATGTTATTTCTGGATGGTGGGGAAGAGATGCTTTTTATAGACAGCATCATTTTCTGCATTAAGGGAAATATTCTCAAAATAAAGACTTGTATGAGCATTAATGCCTTTGGCAGATGTGTGCTGACAAGCACTTCTTCCAGACCACACAGAATAGGTCAGGTGCCACCATATGCAATTCAGAAACCAAGGCAGCCCAACCTGTTAGGCCTTTAGTGTCTAGCTCTGTACTCTCCAATATGGTAGACACATACAGCTACTTGACTTTAAATTAAAATTAATTAAAATTATTTTTTCAGTTCCTCCATTGCACTAGCCACATTTCAAATGTTGAACAGCCACATGTGATTAGTGGCTATTGTACTGGTGGCACACATATAGAACATTTCTGTTACTGCCATAAATTCTTTTGGAATTTATGCTGCTATTATGTTATTGCTGTAAATTCTATTGCAAAGAGCTAGTCTTTAGCTCTTTTGACAACTAGCACATTTTGGTCATATTGCTCTTTTTCTAGTATGTCCTTCTGCACAGAGGAAAACAAAGGTCATGACTAGCAGATTTTTTTTTTCTTTAATCTCTGGAAAACATATGTCCACTATAATCCTAAACTACAATTACATCTGAAGTAACACTTTCTTGTTAAAGAGAATTAGGTGAACTCTGTTTAGAAAGAGATGTGGCAATCACCTATCATTATATAAATACCGCATTTCATTTCCCTAAAACTTAGGAAGTAGGAAGACAGGTTGAAGGATGAGAAAACATTATTCAAATAAAACTCAGAATGTGAGTTCAATGGTTTTCCAAGAACCTGCTTTTCTTTTTCTTTCTTTTTTTTTTTTTCTTTTGAGACAGAGTCTGGTTCTGTCTCCCAGGCTGGAGTGCAGTGGTGCGATCTTGGCTCACTGTAACCTCTGCCTCCCGGGTTGAAGCTATTCTCCTGCCTCAGCCTCCCAAGTAGCTGGGATTATAGGCATGCACCACCATGCCCAGCTAATTTTTGTATATGTTGTAGAGACAGGGTTTTGCCATGTTGCCCAGGCTGGTCTCAAACTCCTGAGCTCAAGCATTCCTCCTGCCTTGGCCTCCCAAAGTGCTGGGATAATGGTGTGAGCCACCGCACCCGGCCTGAACCTGTGGCTCCTGGCCTGAACCTGTGTTTCTTACCTGTACACTGTATGAGGGACATATACTTCTCGTGTTGGAAATTCCAAAATCTCTTTGTGTGGGCGTGTCCGGTTTTCAGGAAAGGGTTTCACGGGCAGCATTTCAGGAGTCAGACAGCAATTGATGATCTCTGGAGCTGTAGAAATCTCCAGTCTGAGCAAGCCTAAAGAGAGAAAATAGGAATGTTCTAGTAAAGAAACTGCCATGTTATGAAGGAATCAAGAAGGATTGTTGCACTGTGTTTCTTTCATGAAAATAAGAACAAACTATAGTACTATAAAAAAGTTTTGGAGCTAATTTCCTACAGTTTGAAAAAAGTGTGTCATGATAACCTTTGAGATTTAGCTTCTATAAAATAAAATATAAAGCAAGAAATTGTAAAATGAGAAGGAATGGATTAGAGGATTTTTAAAGTTCTTTCCTGAATTACCACAGTATAATTTTATACAGTTAAGTAACTTCCCTGCATTGCTAGCAGTAAAAATTGGGAGTTTCAAAACTGGCTTCCGGCTGGACGTGGTGGCTCACGCCTGTAATCCCAGCACTTTGGGAGGCCGAGACAGGTGGATCACAAGGTCAAGAGATTGAGACCATCCTGGCCAACAGGGTGAACCCCGGTCTCTACTAAAAATACAAAAAATTAACCAGGCGTGGTGGTGGGCCCCTGTAGTACCAGCTACTCGGGAGGCTGAGGCAAGAGAATCACTTGAACCCAGGCGGCAGAGGTTGGAGTGAGCTGAGATTGTGCCATTGTACTGCAGCCTGGTGACAGAGTGAGACTCCACCTCAAACAAAAACAAAAACAAAAAAAACCAAACTGGCTTCCGTGGGCCTGAGGATGCTACAGAAGTACCTCCAGGGCTGCTGAGTGAGGATAAGGAAGGTGCCTTTGCCTTCTACCAAAGCATCTCACATTCACTTTTTTAATACTAAGTATAATATTTTATTTGATTAAAGGGGCTCCTCTGTTTAAACAATTATCTCATTATCTGAGAAACCAGATCTAAAGCACAAGGTTTGTTTACGAAATCAATCCTTTAAGAAAATTAAAAAACATTAATAGGTTTGCCAAAAACAGAACAATTCAGATTCTTTTTTTTTTTTTGAGACGGAGTCTCGCTCTGTCGCCCAGGCTGGAGTGCAGTGGCCGGATCTCAGCTCACTGCAAGCTCCGCCTCCCGGGTTCACGCCATTCTCCTGTCTCAGCCTCCCGAGTGGCTAGGACTACAGGCGCCCGCCACCACGCCCGGCTAGTTTTTTGTAATTTTTAGTAGTTCGCCGTGTTCGCCAGGATGGTCTCGATCCCCTGACCTCGTGATCCGCCTGTCTCGGCCTCCTAAAGTGCTGGGATTACAGGCGTGAGCCACCGCGCCCGGCCACAATTCAGATTCTTAACCCCTAACACAAAATCTCACATTTCACTTGGCAAACATGATTATTATTATTATTTTTTTTTGAGACGGAATCTCCCTCTGTTGTCCAGGCTGGAGTGCAGTGGCGCGATCTCGGCTCACTGCAAGCTCCGCCTCCTGGGTTCATGCCATTCTCCTACCTCAGCCTCCCGAGTAGCTGGGACTACAGATGCCTGCCACTATGCCCAGCTAATCTTTTGTATTTTTAGTAGAGATGCGGTTTCACCGAGTTAGCCAGGATGTTTTTGATCTCCTGACCTCGTGATCTGCCTGCCTCAGCCTCCCAAAGTGCTGGGATTACAGGCGTGAGCCACCGCCCACGGCTGTAAACATGATTTTATAAATTCTGGCATTAGACAAAGAATGTGTCTAATGATAAGCGGTTGGGCACCGCTAAAGAGGATAAAGATGTCATTCACACCTGGAATTGACTTGACTCGTCTCTGTAAAGACGAAGATCTTTTGTAGTCAGCTAAAAACTTGAATAAGTCTTCATCACTAAGGCGATCTCCTTCCTGCCAAGAGAAAAGTCAGAGTTAGTGTACATGCACCTTTGACTCTTGGGTTGGGAACCAACGATTTCTGGGAAGATTTTTACCTTTAAGTTTTATTCTCACAAGTCTTTCATAGAAATTAGGATTATAGGCAGCTCTGAAATCACTGAGTTCCACTTCTCGTTAAATCCTTCTCAATCACTGATGACTCACTGTGCCTCGGCCTCGCATCAGTCCTTCTGGGATGGGGCTTCTGCTGCACTCTAAGGAAGCCTGTCTGACCATTAGAAAAGCAGGCCAAAAGCTTCCCTGCCTATAACTCTCACCCTCTGATACCAGTGTTACCCCCTGGAACAATACAGAATAAGTTTACTTTCCTCTTCAAATGTTTGAAGGTGGAGAAAGCATCTTCCCATCTCATTTTCTTCACATTTGTCTTGAACAGGAAGGTGAAATATAAATGCTGCCCACCCCCACATATGCCCAAGACGGGTCAGGAACTCTGCCAAGGGACACATATGCATGATCTCCAATCCTTACAATGACCCAGTAAGGTAATTAGGTAGATATGTCTTATTCCCAATGAGACCATTCAGACTTGCTTAAGTACCTTGTCCTCCAAGGTCATAAGATTGGTGTATGCTGAATAGAAACCTTTTCAGACCCTTACAATTTCTATTATGTGGCATGGTGCACAGGCTCCCTCAGTACCCCTTTTGCATTTCAGTTTGTTAATGTAACCCCTTTAAATGCTCCATGAAGACTGTAGCTATGGAAAACTTTCCAAAACAGAGTCAGACCAAGTGAGTTTATTTTAAGTGTGGCAAAATATAACTAACATAAAATTACCATCTTACCTTTTTTTTTTTTTTTTTCCCCCTGAGATGGAGCCTCACTCTGTCACTCAGGCTGGAGTGCAGTAGTGCAATCTCAGCTCACTGCAACCTCCACCTCCCAGGTTCAAACAATTCTCCAGCCTCAGCCTTCCAAGTAGCTGGGATTACAGGCATGCACCACCACACCTGGCTAATTTTTTGTGTTTTTAGTAGAGACGGGGTTTCACCATGTTGGTCAGGCTGGTCTTGAACTCCTGACCTCAAGTAATCCACCTGCCTCGGCCTCCCAGTGCTGGGATTACAGGTGAGAGCCACTGCGCCCGGCCCATCTTATCTATTTCTAAGTGCACAATTCAGCAGTGTTAAGCACATTCGCATTGTTGTGCAACCAACCTCCAGAACGCTTTTCTCTTGCAAAAAAAAAAAAAAAAAATCTGAAACTCTATATCCTTTAACCAGCGATTCCCCATCCCCTCTATCCCTAGACCCTGGCAACCATCATTCTACTTTCTGTCTCTATACATTTGACAAGTCTAGGAAGTTTTAACTCTTTTTAATAGTCTTGATGTTTACTGAGCTAACAAAGAGTACCATCTGGAATGGTCACGTTCTCCGAGCAAGCAGGGAGCCCTGCAAACATGCACAGCAAGCAGTAGTGAAAGTGGCAGCTTGCACATGAATAGCCAGGCCAAGAAACCCTGAGATCCACCGGGAAGGAGATGTCCCAGCCAGACTGTTGTCATAGCTTAATGAATGGATTGGCCAAGATAGTTCAAATAGGATGATAGTTTGCATCACGAGGAACAAAACCTAATCCTTCTCTCAGTGAAAATAGCTGACATTCATTGAGCACTTACTGTATTCCAGGCACTCTAAAAAGAGCTTGACAGGTCTCATGTCACCTGACCTTCCTACAAGCCACATGAAGTTAAGTACTATTGCTCCCGGTTTTCTGGCTAATGAAATTGAGGCTTCGTGAATGCTGTGGTTTGAATGTCCCCTTCAAAACTCATGGTGAAGCTTGGTCCCCGTGGTGGCAGTGCTGGGAAGTGGGGCCTTTAAGACGTGATTGAATCATGAGGGCTCTGCCCTCACGATGGATTAATCCATTCACAGATTAATGGATTAATCTGTGTCATGGGAGGGGAACTGGTGGCTTTACAAGAGGAAGAGAGACCTGAGCTAGCATGCTCAGCCGCTCGCCATGCTCCACCTCAGGACTCTGCAGAGAGGCCCCGCCAGCAAGAAAGCCCTCACCAAGTGTGGGCCCTCAACTTTGGATTTTTCAGCCTTCATAACTGTAAAAAACAAATTCCTTTTCTTTTTAAATTACCCAGTTTCAGATACTCTATTATAAGTAGCAGAAAACGAACTAAGACAGTGAGGTTAACTAATTTGCTCTCTTAATCACTACATGTCCTCCTCCTGTGGGTTCCAGTGCCCATACCAGTATGGGGAAAAATTCAGACACACTGTAATGTAAAGAGATACCTGCTTGAAAAAGCTGCTAACGCTCAGGGTGGAGGTTTTGAAGTTGGATCCAACCCCATTTTCCTCCAAGGAGAGGGCTCTTTCAGAAAGCCTTCTAGATTGGGCCAATGTCCTCCGTTCACCTACTGAACTTCTTCCTTTAAGAAAAACAGTTGTCATTCCAAAGTATGCCTTTCTGTTCAAATACACAGCAGTTATTAACTCTACAATATATATGTTTAAAGTCACCGATCAGGAACACTGAATATGGCCATCCTTGTTTTGAATGAAAATGTCCTTCCATTGGCCCCTACCTTTCTTAGTCCTCCTGTTGGTGTTCTTAATCCTCCTCCGACCAGAGGAGAGAGGCCAGGAGCAGCCATGGGCCCCTCCCACATGGAAATTAGGGTAGACCAGATGCCACCCGGCAAGAGTCCAGAGCTATAGCCAGAACAGGGTCTCCTGATAAGCTTTATTTAGTCAGCCCACTGTTTGCTTTTCTTTTATTTCTATATTTGCATTCCACTGGGAGAGGCATGTACTCAAATGCCCCCAAAGGCATTTGGGATTGTGACCCAAACATGCAGGGGTCAGCCTGCGGACATTCTGAATCTCAGCGTTCCTCTGCTCTCATTATGTGGACCAGGCAGCAAGACTGAGTTTCTGCCTTGGGTGATCTGCCCAATGGGAATTAGAACCCCAAATCACATTCAGACTTGGGCTGGGAGCCTGATAGTTTACCCAGTTGTTTCTTATTCCTTTTTGAGATTTGGGTGGAGATCTTGTTGCTTTTATGTTGCAAAAACTCATGGGTTCTGTTGTAAATAATCAAATTGCTTAGAACTAGAATAGTTCCAACTCCTGTCTTTGAATATCTTCTTATCCTTAATTCTTACCATGATGCTGAATTAGAATTTCTTGCTGCCTCTACCCACCTAAACTTGCCATTCTGCCTCAATATAATAGACGACATCTTTGCATCTTCTGGTTGCTCCTTAAGAATCAGTCTCTGTTGTAAGGTTATCCTCGACCTAGAGATGACTGAGGCCTCAGCATGCCCTATACCTGAATTACTTAGCTTGTGGTGCCCTCTAAGCTGTATACATAACTCTTATCAATAAGTTACTTGGGTCTACATAGATGACATTAAAGAAAGCTGTGGCAGGAAGATCAGGATGTGGTAACAGTGAGGTTTGTTATTGACGAACCAGAAATAACCCAGGAGTTCTGACTGGTGATTATGTACCAGTAACTCCAAAATAGCAGCAGCAATCACAAAATGTCCTTTCCTCCACTTCCCTGCTCAAGGTAGCATTTCAGAAGTGGCTTAAGTCTTAGCTTAAGGAATGCATGAAAAAATGTGAACACAGACTTATATATTTGGTGGATACAAAAGCATTTAGGGAAACAGAAATCCCACCACAGGTGATGTGGGCAGGTCCACTTGAAAACTTGCAACCCTTTTGAAAATTTCCACACCCAAGCAGTGTAGGAATGAATGATTCAGATCAAGGGTGAGATGATGAAAAAGAAATATGCTAAATAAACTAACAGTAAATAGATATTCTTTGGATGCCCATTTTTTCATTGCACTTGGCAAAGTAAACTTTAAAGAATTAGAAATTTTGCTGGGAAACTTGAGTTTTTTTCTTTTTTCTTTTCTTCTTCTTCTTCTTCTTCTT